CCCCCCCCCCCCCCCCCCCCCCCCAGTACTTCAGGGGCTCTGCATGTACAATGACTATGGAGGTACAGCATTAAAATCAAACTCACTCGCTCTGCATATCATATCCACATGGAACTTTTTTTTTCTTGGAAAATGTCATTACTGCGAATACATCGAGTCCAGGCATTACGCATTTTGGACTAGCTGAACTGCTGACGTGTGTGAAGGTCTTGCTAATTCAGAATCACAGTTATATATTCATGTTCTGGGCTTCATACCACCACTTGCTGTGATCGATGAGGTCTAAGGCTACAATTTCAGGGAGATACTTTCCAGACGGATCCAATTTTAAAGGAACGGAGGACTGATGGATCTAATGCGAAACTCTACAAGATGACTCAATGGGGCAGATAATTAGCAAAGCAGTTATGGTCTGATGTACACAGGGAGTTAACCAGGACCACCTTTTAGTAGCACTCCTCAATACAGCACCGTCATATCAACCAACCTCTCCAGTTCGGTGCACTGAGCAGATAACTCCACCTGCTGGACGGAAGAAGTACTGCACGCTTGCCACAATCCAGGAGCCCATCAAGGGCCAGAAATGCCAAATCAATACACCATGTCATTTATCTCAGCTCGCAAGCCCAGTTCTAATAAACATCACATATTAACTGACTTTACAGTGAGAAACATACTTTTCTCCAGAGCACTTTGACACAGAGGGGGATGAAGTTACACCAAATCTTTGAGGACAAACAAGAACGATAATTCACAGCCTCTGACAGGCTGAAAGGTAGCAAATCACTCTCCATTATGCTGACTCAAAAGCCATTAACTTCAACAGGCGAGTCAGTGTCGAGGGAGGAGAAATTTGCTTTCAGGACAAGGAATAAAAATTCATATTGCTGACACAAGGCTGCAGGAGGTTTAGTCTCATTTGCAGAAGGGAGCGGGGGGGGCGTGCATGATTAAAAATACAGCAGGGTAATCTGATGTTTAAAAACGTGTAGAAAAATATGCTGCTTCCACTGTCTTCACGCACGGGATCCAGCAGGATTCCCAGCTTCTTTTAAATCCCTCCCCCATTTTTACTAAGAGACAGAGGGAGGAAAAGAAGGTTAAAGTGGGGGGGGGTGGGTGCTGGTGTCCCCGGTGTCCCCCCCCCCCAGGTGACAGTGACAGAGCATGATGGTTTTACCCAATCAGAATGAATGAAACAATAGTCAGGAAATGGATTTAACCAGAGTGTGTTTCAACTGTGTGGCTTCTCTGACTCCTCCAGTCAACTGGACCATCCATGGGTTTATGTGGCTGGTTCTTAATGCTGATTGGCCCAGCGAGACTGATACAGGTTCTGATTGGCCCGGGGGTTTACCTGAGCACGGCCAGGGGCCTGAGAGTGCAGAGCTGCGCACGGTGCTCTGATGTCACCGTGTCCTCCAGCGCCCGGCCGAGCTCGTGTAGCTGGGCGGGGCTACAGTGCCACAAGGCCGGCCCTTCGTCCCCTTCGCCCCCCAGTAGCCGCTCCTCCTGCAGGAGCTCCCGTTCCAGTTGCGTGCTCCTCTGTCGCAGGCTGGCCAGCCGCCGCTGCAGCTCCTGCATCTCCTCCTGCAGTGGGTCCCCATGTACCCCATTTAGCTCCTACAGCACCCTAAATGTGACTGTTGCAGCACCTAGAACCTGGAAGACCTCATGCTTGCAGACCCAGTAGCACCGGGGCAGCCAGTTGCCACAGCTCTGAAGGTCTTGCAGTTCCACAGTACATCAAATCATGGTTAGATGCAACTTTGCGAGTATCTGCTACAAGCCTAGGGGGTCGTTACCTCGACCAGCCGCTTCTCCTTGAGCAGATGGTCTCTCCACAGTAGGGGGCACTGAGCACCTTCCTGGCCCGATGACAAAGCTCCCTTCTGGCCTTCATGGGAACCGGCGCCCTCTCTGTCCATCACAAAACATGCAGGCTTCACTGCAGAGGACTATCGAGGCTGGACCCGGGTCATCCTACACCACACCAGAACCTTAAGCAATGCTGACATGGTCTACAGAGGGGATAAGGACATTAAGTCCCCCCCCCCCAGGAACCAGGGACAACAGAGGGACACATACTCCCAAATATTTAATTTGGCTTAATTCGTCGTCACCCCCCCCCCAAAAAAAAAAAAAAAAACTCCCACATTTAAATTAAATTGTATCCTCCCCAGTATCAAACTCTCCCCTATGCCTTTGTCCCCCCCAAATAAGTACAAATAGGACAAATTAAAACAGAATACAAGCAGTATGCAACTGTACTCAGAGACACAATCTAAACTGCATCCGATTCAGAGGCTCAACCAGAAAAGTAATTTCTTCCTTAATAGATTAAAACAGTAAATATTCTAAGTATTTTCTTTTAATTATTATTTTGATGACTTTGCACATTATAACAAAATGTTTATTCTATTATAAACAGGTATTATCACAGTAAATGAGTCCAATAGGAGCACTGTTAAACCCCCCCCCCCCCCCCCCCCATCCACCACGACTGATACCTGCTGCCCACCGCTGCCCGCTGCTGGGCACTGCGCACGGCGACCAGCAGGCGCTCCAGGAGGCGGGACACAGAGGGGTGCTTGGAGGGCAGGCCCAGCACCAGCGTGCTCCTCTCCTGCCGCAGCTCATCCAGTTTCCTCCCGAAACGCTCCGCTGCAGGAGCAGACGTGCATCAAACAGGAAGGGGAGGGGCAAAGGGTCGGGGGGCATGGAGGTCGGATCAGATTGGAGCCTCTGACTTCAATGTCTATGCCACAGTACCGTAATTCTGGCCTTGCAGGGTCAGTTTGCAGATTTTCCTGCTCAGACAAATCTACTTGCTAGTTGCATACTTGCTAATTAACTGATCAGGATGTGTTTGAGCAAGCAAATCTGCAAACTGAGAACCGGAACTGCGGAACACTGGTCTATGCTGTGAAGAAGCAAGATATCAAAGACCGCCGAACTCAAATGCAGACTTTACAATTGGGGCATAATATGCAACCTGCACCAGCAGGGGGTGCAGTAGTTAAAGAAACCATTTCAAAACCAGGAGATGAACAGGACAGCTTGGTGTGGACTTGACCACTATGTCTATTTTTAGGTAACAACGGAAACGCAAGTTTCTTTATCTTGTCTATACTTTGGTGAGTCAGCCAGGAATTCGCTGGAGGTCAGATGCAGTCAGAGTCAATCTGTCTGGACGTTGGTCTGATGCACCATTTAGGACAGAAAATGAATCCTCAAAGAACCATCAGAGCAGAATTTAAGAAGACCAAAATTTATGCTGACGACCAAGATCAGTAAACCGGATCACAAGATTGATAAAAAGTCTATTAAGGCCCAATCAAGGCCCAGGCGGAGAGAGGTGTCTGGACCAGCTCTGGATTTAGGAGAGATCTGACAGCTGTCAGCCTCTGCTAGCAAGCAGAATGTGAGGCTTCATTTAAAAACAAAGGTTCGATTAATGGACCGTTGTGTTTCCAATTAATGCTAATGCTGGATATTAACTGAGAAAATGGTCAAAGGGACTTAAAGCAGCAAAATTTGAATTTAATACCAGTATAATTCTGGGGGAGTGTGGAATACACTTATATATGCAAATGTTTTAGGGCAAGTCAAGGGCAAGGAATTAGAATGACTGACTCTCAGGTGAGACTAACATGTGACTTCAGGGTCGTAACCTTCAGGCCAAAGCCGGAGGGCTGCTCCACCCAACAGAATCTTCAGATCTAAATATATCTATTAATAAAGACAGGATGTGCTTATTGTCCAAGGGAGAGGGTTAGAGTGACTGTCATTGGCAGCGAGGACAACCAGGGGCGGAGAAAAACATAGGCGACAGCCCCGGGTCCCGGCAAACACCAGGGCCCGGCTCCGGCTCAGAAACAAGGAAACGGTTAATTAGATCAGTGACACCTGAGAGTTCGTGTCCCCTAGATATTTTAATCTGCCCCTGTGGACGATGCACAGTCACAGTCTGTCTGAAAGGGGGGGGGGGATACCCATCAGAAGCCCCCTAGGAATTTAGGCTGCAAACCGGTGTGACATCACTCCCACCTGCACGTATGGGAAGTGTTTTTGGCAAGTAAAACATCATCAGTATTGACAGAAGCTTGTGCAAACCAAGGTTAAGACAATGGTAAGTGTGAAAAAGTGAGGATGGAGTAATATATGAAGATCAGGCTGGAGATCACACACACAGATGTCACCATCATGACAAGCATGTCCCCCCCCCCCTATCTACGAGCAGGGTGGCAAATACAATCTAGAACTTTCTGCAGCTCTAAGACAAGGACTTACGAGTGTTAGAGTACCGGGGAGGTGAGAGCTTCTCCGAGCTGGTGCGCCCCTCCCCAGCGAGGCTGATGCCCCCCCCCCTTACCTGTGTCATAGTCGTCTTCCAGCACTGCCTTCTGCTGTAGGCCTTGCAACTTCATCATCAAGGACTCGATCTGGGGGCAAGAGACGACGAGGGAGACAGAGAACAAAATCACCCACATCACCGTAACACACTCAGCAGCAGCGTTTATCACCCAAGGTTTGGGGGCCCCCTTTTGGCCACAGACAGTTACTACAAGAGGGGAGGGCCCAGCAACAACAAACCTGCCCGTGCATGCACTTTGGTTCCCAGGACACTGATAATCAGGTACACGATTACAAGATAATCACTATGGAGAGCAGATACAAGATATTAAACCAACACCATGCTGTATTGCATAATGGGTTAGAGGATGAACAGAGAGATACGTTTAATGACATGCGTGTTACACATTCCGCATGCAGGAGGGTGGGGCGGATTAGCCGGGGCGACCCCGTGTTCGGCTCCCCACCTTGGCACTGGTCTGATTTCCCTGCAGGCATTTCTGCAGGACGCCCTCGTACTTCTTGGCCAGGGCCTCCCAGCCGCGGTCACCGCAGGGCACGGCGCTCTCGTAGCCCGAGGTGACGGAGGAGCCCGAGGTGGAGTCAGAGGAGGAGTCGGCCGACAGGGAGGAGGCGGCCTCGGCATCCACAGAGCCGGCGTCGGAGTCAGGGAGACAGTCCCTGGAGTGGGCGGAGCTTGAGGCCGCACCGGCCAGGCATCCCGGACCACTGCATGGCAGGACCACAGCCCCTCCCCACAAATCTCTGCTAAATGAGCGCCTCGGAGTCCCACCTGCTTCTGAGGCAGCAGGCTGGGAACCTGAGAGTCTAAACGAGCAGCCACTGACATCAGTGACGGGTCCTGATTGGCCCAGCGAAACACACACAGGTGCTGATTGGGCCGGGGGGACCGATATGGGTTCTGATCGTGCAGGGGAACCTGGACAAGCATCCATCCCTTGGCTGCCACTAAGAGAGAGTCTGATGAAGCTGAAACTGGAGTTAAACTGCTCCCGATGAGGTGAGCTCTGAATATCCTTCACGGGTTTCGGAGAATGAGGGCCCAGGTGATACCCCCGATTAGGTGCTTCCCTGGGGGTAGGCCTGCAGGCCTCCTGGGGGACTGTGGAGAGTGAAATCCCACTGTTAAGGCACAGGCTGGGCTTGAAGACTTCACTGGAAGGAGGATGGGTCAGCTTCAGTGGGCCGGACTGCACAGCAGTGCGATGGCTGTCATTCACAGCGCGGCAAGCCTCCCCATTGGTCAAACTGAGGCTCTGGCCCTCCCCTTCGATTGCACTCCATGAATGTCGATGCAGATCCGGCCTCATATACCCCGGCCTCCTGGGAAGCCTCTTTCGGGAGCCTCGACCTGCTGGCACCGTGACCCGACCACCTGCTGCGAGAGGGATTAACTATCAGTCAGGCTGGGACAAGCAGTGCTTTGTGAAGGAAACAGGCGTAGCTGCACACAACAGCACGGGACACTAAGAGACAATCCGACCTCTACATTTACCAGTATCCAAACTCAACCGGCCCCAAAATCCAGTTTCAGATGTCGCCCATGGTTACCTGCGGCGAGTCCACTTTTCTCCAAAGGTACAACGGCATTTCCCGAACCCTGGACCCGTTGCCTGTGTAAGGACCCTAAAGGCAGGGATGGGACTCCGTATCCCAGAGCCATCTGAACATCTCCACTGCTCTCCTCAGCAAGCAGACAGCAGGGACCAAGAAGTATTTTGTTTGATGAATTCCTGGTTTTAGTGGGAAGGTGCCATCTGCGTGTTTGTTTCGTAACATCCTGTAGTGTGGTGTGCGGTGTGCGGTGTGTGTGTGTGTGTGTGTGCAGTTCCCCTTTGCCTCTCCTAAGATAATATCATGTCTCACCTGGGAACACTGAAAATAGCAGGGACATTCCACTGAGCTTCCCCACCATCTACTCCCCCCCAAACGCCACCACCCCCCATGAGAACAGCAGTGCCATTCAGAGCCACAGACATGGGATAAGACCCGCTATGGCTTTGGGGGTGGGCTGGGGAAGGGGACAGAGGGATCATTCACTGTCACCACAGTCACAGCTGGGGGTGGCGGCTGCAGAGAAGCCCTGTGATGCGCTGGTGACCGGCACACGAGCCAGCGACGACTAACAGACCCCCAAACGCACCCCACAGCCGCTCCCAGTCCGCTGCACTGGGAGGGCAACGATCTCTCAGACAGCCACACGACAGGAAGCTCATCCTGTGGGGCGAGACGTCACAGCAAACCCCCCCCCAGACCAGCCGGCACCCCCCCCTCCCCCATCAAAGACACACCCTCAGTGGATACCAAACCACAGGCCCCACACCAAAACCTGATCTGGAAAACACATGCCAGGCAAATTAGACCCCAAAAAGCACCCCCCCCCGAATAGGATTACCCTAGAGCCACTCTTTCCATTTTAGGAAAAAGGAAATGCCAGAGACACCCCCCATTGTGTCTTGCTTTGCGTCCTGTTACAGCCCCAGTCAGAGAGTCTCGCTGGGATTCGATAAAAACGGACCCGCCCCAGTTATGGTATTTTCAGGTCCCCGCACTGCCGCCTTTAACGTCAGACAAGCGACACAGACTCACTTCTCCGTGTCCTGTAGTGTGTCAGCCCCTCCCCCTCCACGGGGATCGCAGAGAGGCAACTCTTCAGGGCCCCCTGTGGTTACACAGGCTGTCCCCGGACCCACTCGGCGGTCCAGGTGAGTGGTGAGCTTGCCGAAGGGCGTCAGGGGCTCCCCCGTGTCGCCCCACCGGAGCGTCAGCAAAGGCAGCGGCTACCCGGCGTCCCGCACGTCAAGAGCAGCGAATCGCAGCGCAGGAAGTGAAAGCTGTACATATTTCTGCCAAACCTTCCCCTTTTTCCCCCCCCATCTGTCCTTCCTGCAAGCAGAAGCGGCAGTGGGGGGGTCACGCGGAGCGCTCACTTCCTCCGAGGGCGCTTTGCACCTCCTCCCCACACCTCCACCACAGCCTCAATGCTCTAACGTTACCGGAAAATGCAGGGCAGGACAGGAGGCCTGGTCCAGGATGCCAGAAGAACTTCAAAGGGTAGAAGGTGCTGTGAAGGTCTGCTGAAGGTGGCACCTATGTTAACACTGCCACATCACCAACAGACAGGGGGGGGGGGGGGAGGTAGCGCAATAGCAGTTCGGCCCAAATGACACCCTTAGCAAGCTTAACCCTCCCCCCCAACCAAAAAAGAAAAATTATTCACCACCCAATTTCATGCCCTTAGAAGGTGCCTTCCTGATCAACTGCTCATCTTGCAGGACCTTGCTCAGGGACCTAATGATGTCAAAGGTGGGACTCGAACCCATGATCTCTTGGTCCAGAGGCAAGCATCCTAACCACTAGATCACCAACACCCTTGCTGACCATCAACAGAACATTACCATGGCCGCCTCTTTAAGCCGATGTCCCCGGTGACTCATGTCCGCAGTTTCCCTACAGCACACACACACTTCCCTCCCCCGAGCCAAACCACGATCCCGAACCCTGAGCAGCTGGGGAGCGACTGGACCAGCATACGGGCTCCGTGCTGGAACGCCATCAAACCGCGCAAACCGTTACCAAGGCAGCGCGTGCAGAGCAGAGCGGAGGCTGACTTTGAAAGTAAACAGCAAAACTGCATCTCCATGGCGACTCCCCCCCCCGTGCTCAGGAGAGCACCATGACAGCTCAGGGCTTGGCCATCCTATCATTCCCTGGGACATCTGGCGTGTCCCATAGCCACACATTACCGCCCCACCTGTTACTGTCACACATGCAAGAAATGCATCCAAAACAGCTGCACACACGAATGATATTGGACACAAAGTTTGTTTCGACTGTTCCGAACTTTACATCAATGGCAAACAAACACGGAAATGTTTACTGCACAAAATGGCTACAGTTCAGACCTTTTGTTTAGGGAACCGTGTTAACAGATGGCCAGGAAGTACTCGCACAGGTCTGGACATCCTCTGGCAGAAGTTCATAAGAAAATAAAAAGATCGGCCATTTGAGATTGAAAAGACATTTTGACTAGGCTTTTTGTGTGTGTGTGTGTGTGTGTTTGGGGGGGGGGGGGGCTAGGCTGGGCTACACAGCCTGAGATGTGAGATCCCTGGGATGCCAGACAGGCCTGCTGTCGATCACTTCACAGCTCGGTGCTCAGCACAGAACATATCGCGCCCAAGTGCCTCCATCCCTCAAGAAGCAGGGCGAATAACACAGTGTAAAGCATAAACAGTGCAGCGGAAAGCCGGTTATATTTTAAAATTTCTTAAATAAACATCCTGTTTATTACTAATGCCATCCAAATAGCCATTTTGTTAATTTTGTATAAAACTAACGATTTTTCGGATGTGAGCACATTTATCAAAACTCATTTTCAATTCTTAATAGTCTAAAACAAAGCTGATACAGTCTACTTTCATGTGTATGAAGGGACATCGGAGGAAATACCATTACATAATAGTCTAAGCGGAGCGTTTGGACCGATGCCTGTTCGGTGCAGGAATCACGGGTTTCTGCACCACATCCATGTCTAAGGCCGCCGGTACGGAAACAGTTCCGCTTCGCCGACTAGTCGGTTTAGGGAGTAAATAAGCCGTTTTATTATTGTTGTAATGAAGACGCTGAATTAATAAACTGAACCCAAACACGGATTTAACGCTGCGGCGAACAAACACATTCATGAGATTTAGACTATAATGGAAAACGTCACGTGAATGTAATCAACGCATTAAGGGAGATTTTAAGGGAAAGTTGCCCGGCACTAACACGCCAGCAACTCCAAAGCTTAGATTACTTCCCTAAAACTGCAGATTTGTTTAACAATTACTGAAGTCCCAGTATAACTTATCAGATCACAACTTTTTGGACGGGTCTTTTAAAATAATAAACTAAGACCTTTAAAACTAAATAGGTATACATATACAGGCAAATTTATGAATGTTATTAAACGATATACATTTTAAAAAATCTAACAATATGCATGCTACACTGACACGTGTTATATGGAATAATGATTAACAACTATAGTCAGTGTCACATTAGACGGTGATAGTCATGCTGATCACAAATAGCATTTATTAACATTTATAGGCTTCCTGCTACTTTCAGACACTTTGTGGGTATTTTGTACAGGATTGATGCTTACCTCTCCTCATCTCCGGGTGCGGCGGGAGGGCAGCGCTGTCAGCCCCGGAGGCGTTCGGGGGCCACGTCCCCAGCCGTACCATCCCGGCAAACATGGCTTCGGGTAAGAATGTAAACCACCCCACGGTCCAGACGCTTCAGACGGCGAGCTGGGTGAGATGTGACATTTTCCCAAACACGGACTGCCCCTCGGCCGAAACAAAGCGGCAGATCTCCGTTCCTCCAGCTGAAGTCATTTCCGTTTCGTTGGAGAAAGCGTTTCCCTTCAAAACTGTTTCCAAAGCACACGCCTCCCGTTTCTGTGAGGGGGGGCTGCTAACGGGTCGCTTATGCGATGCGGCCCCACAAGCCGCGTTTCCACACCGGCTCCCGTTCCCACACCGGCTCCCGTTCCCCCGTCGCAAACATCGGCAACGTCATATTAATCCCCGCAGGACTGAAGGCTTTTCATCAACAGCCTAACATTATGAAAACCTAAAAAGAAAACGAAATATTCAGGGAGTGACTATTCAAATAGGAAAAAAGTAATGCAATCCAAGGGATTCTGGGGGGAAAACAGGCCCCTTTAATTACTGTGGCGGTGATACACCGTTATGTCTCCTGTTGCAATGGGCAAAGATCCTGCTCCTCCTTGATCTGGTGAAAACCGACTCCCGCTGTCCGCGGGGTTCACCGATCGGCTAAGCAGCAGCTTTCACTATAGGTGCTGTAATTAATACCCTCCTTCTATATCCCGGTCCCTTCTCTTTAAATCTATCGGGTATTGCTTTGCCTTTGTAGCTGTACTTTGTGTTCCTGGTAGTTCCTTCTCGGTTGATGAAGAAAAAAAAAAGTGTAAAAAAAAAAGGCTACTACGCTGAAAAATTTAGGCAACAGTTTCAGGTAGCACAAAAATTGATACCCCCTTTAAAAGTATTGGGAAAAAAAAAAATGTAAAAAAAAAAAAAAAACGACCGCTTTCCATAACCAATTCCAGTTTCACATTTCAGTAGTTTCTGGGTAATGTATGTAAACCGTTCTGTGTCGGAATAACGCCCACCGCAGATAGGCGGGAACATAATGGTCAGGTCAATCAAGACATTAATAAAAAACATATTATTGTGAAAATGCGCTAGATAAATAAATTGAATTTAATTGAATTAAAGGATATTATGGAAACTAAACTGGACAATTAGGAGACATTTAAATGTGGTCGCTGTGGCGGTACATTGACATTACTGAGCGTGTAAAGAACACGCCGTACCACATCGAGCACCTTCTGCTGGGTGATTATCTGGAGACCACACCTGCAATCAAAGTGCAGTAGCTCACCTTGAACCGGTTCAGCTGTCTGTCGTGGGCGTGGTAGGAAGCAGACCTGCATGGATTGATGATAAGCATATGAAATATGCTGGCTGTTAATTAAACCATCCTGACAGGACGTTCATGTTGCCGCCATGAGAGAATGCTGTTGTACCCATTTGTTTTACACCGCACAATACGTTGTTTGCCTAAAAATACACTATATGGACAAAAGTATTGACACTTGGCCATTTCACCTACAGAACTTTTATGACGTCCCATTCTACACCCATAGGCATCAATATGGAGCTGGTCCCCCCTTTGCAGATATAACAGCTGCCACTCTTCTAAAAAGGCTTTCCACAAGTTTATGGAGTGCGTCTGTGGGAATTTCTGCTTATTCATCCACAAGAGCATTTGTGAGATCAGGCACTGATGTTGGACATGACAGCCTGGTTTGCAATCTCTGTTCTCGTTCATCCCAAAGGTGTCCGATGGGGTTGAGGTTCAGGGCTCTGTGTGGGCCAGTCAAGTTCTTCCACACCAAACTCACCCAACAATGTCTTCATGGACTTGCTTTGTGTACTGGAACAGTCACTCTTGAACTGGAAAGAGCCTTCCCCAAACTGTTCCCACAAAGTTGGAAGCATATAATTCTCCAAAATGTCTTGCTAGAATTGTCTTGAATGTCTTGAAGCATTAAGAGTTTCCTTCACTGGAACTAAGGGGTCTAGCTAAACCCCTGCTAAACAACCCCATACCATTATCCCTCCTCCACCAAACTTTACAGCTGGCACAATGCAGTCAGGCAGGTAACATTCTCCTAGCATCCACCAAACCCAGACTAGGCCATCAGACTGCCAGACAGAGAAGCATCACACTACAGAACACATTTCCACTGCTCCAGATTCCAGTGGCGGTGTGCTTTACACCATTCCATCCGATGCTTGGCCTGGCGCTTGGTGACGTGAGGCTTGAATGCAGCTGCTCTGCCATGGAAGCCCATTCCATGAAGCTCCCGGCATCGTTTTTGTTTTTAGGTTAATGCCAGAGTTTTGAATTCTCCAGTTACTGAGTCAACAGAGCATCGCCGACTCTTACGCACTGTGCACCTCAGCACCCCACAGCCCCGCTCTGTTACTGTACGTGGTCTGCACTTCGTGGCTGAGTTTCTGTTGTTCCTAAACATTTCCACTTTGCAATAATACCACTTACAGTTGACCATAGAATATCTAGCAGGGGAGAAAATTCACGAACTGGCATAAAGTGAAACCTAGGAGGGGCCTGAGTCAGTTGTCCCTGGGTCAGTTGTCCCTGGGTCTTAGGTCAAGGGGGGCAAAAGAGCCCTATAACCTTTAAATAATCGTGGGATATATAGCATAGCGGGGGTCGAAGAGGTGAACACGTACCTCTCCGTTTTTCTGTATTAAACCTAGTGAACGGCATTACGAGTCGTGAGCTTTATTGCAAGGACGCTCTCCTACAGCCATCATGCAGGTGTCGGCCTACATAAGACCGTGGACAGTCCTGAGATGTGTCTGCAACACAATCGAGCTAATCGGCGGTAACCAGACACTAGATGGAGGGTGTTTTGTGACAATATTCAATAAATAAACTGTCATTTAAATGATTGTTTAAATTACAATTTAAATGATACCAGCAACCATTAAAAAAAAGCTGTCAAAGTGATGACGGTTAAGCTGTCCCATCACATAATGTTAGCTATAGCTAAACATATTTAATATATTAATGATAAAAATGGGGCATATCGTGACCTCGTTATAATATATCGTGGGAATGAATTACAGCGGTCCCTCTGCATCCACGTTTCCGCAGTCTACCATTTCGCCACACGATGGCAGAATGTTATAGTTTTAGGATTTTCTTTGGTCCCATACCTGTTTCAAGACGTCGCTGAAGACTATCAAATGATTTTATTCGGAAGGCAAATATTTTCTCAAAATGGAAGAAAAGACAGGGTTCAAAACTGTAAGTCAGATGCCGTATTACTTAAAGATAAATAATGCGCACAGCTGCAGAAGAGCCTGAAGCTTTCGTGGGAACGGTTCCAAGTCTTGCCAAGGGAGTATAGCAGCTTTGGGATGCAGGACCACCGTACAGATGCATTTATATTCCAGTTTAACTGAGAAAACGCACAGGCGGTGCTTTCACAGAGCTCGGTCCTCGCAGTTCTTAGAAGTCACCTCTGACTAAGACCAGCACAGCTGCGGGGGGTGGGGGGGGGGGGGTTGAGGGACAATGGAGCAATTGACATCGCCACACAATGTAAACTGTCAGCCCCAGACTCGCTGCAGGACTGACATTATCACTCTCCCCATAGAACACCCACCTCTCGCCCCGGCAAGTTTCACCGCATCGCTCACGCTCTTCGGGTGAAATTCCCACGGGCCTAACGAGAGAGCGTGGTCCCCGACTACTGCGCACGTTCAGAAAATACTCCGACTGCTGGTGCAAACTCGAAACCTCATCAAGAGCAACCCCACTGCGTATAAAACAGGGCTTTAATCCAACCTCATAAATTCATCCGTAACAATGAAGTTTACGCAACAGGCAGATTAAGTTCATATCTTCTGTAGTCGTGTCTGCGAGATACCGGGCTTCCGGCGGCACCAGCCCCTAAGTGACAAAGCTGTCAGAGATCGCCATCGCTGCTATTTACATCTTTGTTTTCATTCCAGCATGTTGGTTTAGCTGGGAGGTAAGAGGCTGCGGCCTGACGTGCCGATGGGCCATGAGCGTACGGAGTACAGGCATGTACTATATAAACAAGAACTTCATCTTAACGACGGACTACAGACGAAAACCAGCCCTTTGACTAACTGGCATATATTCAGCAGTGTCATCAGTATGCATTGTCCGTTAGTTAAACAAACAAACAATTTTCTAGTGGCAGACATAAAAGGGGGGACACAGAAGAGAGGTGAGACACGTGGTTTAAATAAACCCTTTATTCAGCTTTCTGCTCGAACCCGTCACACAAAAGGTGCACACGGTTACCGCCGTAGGACCAGGGCCGTGTAGAACATACATGAACGAAAGACGATGTGGGTGCCGAACCCAAGTCCTTCCCGCCCCCCAGCTTTGCACACAGGCTGTGCAAAGTATTGTGTTTTCAACTTTCACCAGGTAGCAGTGTAAATATCTGGTGAAACGTAAACCATGCCAACAAAACCAACAATCAAGAACAGTTACTTGAAATACAGAAAACACATTTTATACCGATGTGGGGGAAAAAATACACAAGAAAGAAAAATAGAAAAATTAAAACGGCGGAGCAATCTGGCTTGGCAGTGTCAGGCCACCCCATCTTCAGGGTCCAAGAGCGCCGCCCTGCTGGAGAAGACGTCTGCCAGCATGTGTTTGGGCATCTCGGAGCCGCGCACACGCAGCGTATAGCAGGCGTCTTCTACTTTTCCCAGGCTCTGCTTGAGTGTGTGCAGCTTCTTGGAGACCTCGTAGGGCCCCGTGTTGCCGATGTAGGAGAAGCCGTCGTGGATCTGTCGCAGGAACTGGCCCACCTGGAAGGGCGTGTCGATGTCGCCGTTGCCCACGCTGCTGATGCACATGCGCATCAGTTCACCGGTCAGATCGGCAACGCCCAGTAGGTAGTCGGTCGGCGTCACCTGGAAAGTCAGCGCTTGAGGCCCCTGCTTTTCAGACGGAATGCCCTGTCATCGAGAGAACAGTTTTCGGTTTTTATTCATCGCCATGTTGTGCTGAAATGACACCCCCAGTGAGCCGACTTTGGTTATAAACAAAAACCAAACAAAAATAAGAACAAACAAAAACGAGACAAAACCAAACAAAAAAACTAATATAAAAAAAATTATCATCGTCCGTAAGCTTCTAAGCCACTACTTCTAGAACATTCCATGCACGGAGGCGCTCACATCTAGCCTGCCAACTGCGCAACGTGACGATTCTCCTGTACGATACAAAAAAAAAAAAAATTCGGGGAGGAGAGGCATCTGATAAAAATGATCACAGAGATGGAGCTAAAAACAGAACTTGGCTTACAGACGGTCGTTTTTTTTGTTAATGTGCAATACTGTCGCTTATCTCCATGCTAAAAATGGAAGGAGAAAAAAAACTGAACCCCCGATAAGCCCAGTGTGAGTGCAGCACTGAACGTAGCCCGCTCGCCAAAGCCAGGAAGTGGGCGGAGCCAGCAGGCCATGGAATCTCAGCGGGGCCTAGTCAGAAGCGACGGGGCACCGAGACGGGATGGAGGACAAATGTAGGTACCAAATGGTGAGGGCGAACATACTAGGAAGTTCTATGCCAGATGCCTGGACTAGAATGTCACTCACAATCGTCTATCATTTACTCATCCATCCTTCTATCCATACATCTTCTTTAGCTGCTTATCTGAACAGGATTCCACTTACTGATAAGAATTGTGACAGGGAATTTATTTCAAGGAAAGTCCATAATGAATCACAAATGGTTTACAAGTAGGAGGACTGCTACAGCCGGCTAAGTAGCGCTCTGTGCTAACAATGCAAAGGTCATGGGTTCGAATCCCGGGGAGCA